ATCCTCTTTACTTTCTCTCCGCCAGCCACCTAACCTAACTCCCTCTCTCTCTTCAATCTAATTCCCCAACACAGAGGAAGCAATTCCCTCTGGTTTTCCCAAAGTTTCAATCCCAGATTCTCACTCTCCATTCTCCATGCAAGCGGTACATGCTTCTTCATTTGCCTTAATCCTAAACTAGATCAATTAATCGGTCGATTGGACTCCTATTGTGACTAATTTTATGGGCAGAAGAAGAACGACGGAGTCGGCAGGCCGTGAATTCATGGTGCCGGCGAGGAAGGTGATTGAAAAGAGGCCTCTTTCTCGTTGCTCTGTACTCAAATTCTTGTTGTTTCCCATATCAACTATGATTCTCCCGATCTTGCTAAGATGATTACCCTATGAATTGGTTGCCATCTTCTTTCTCACTTCGTCAGCCACTCTCATCCACTACAGATGTCGAATCGAAGATGGGAGGAGATGTCAATTTTCCACCCGAATCTACCGTCTCCAAGCCTTCGCCGTCCAATCCCCGCAATCGATGATGCATCCCTCCAGATTTTGCTTGCCATGCCGTCGCATCGAGGAAGAGAAAATACCGCGGCCAACCCCGGTGATTCGCGGAAGCTCATCCTTCTCGTCGTTCGCTAGCGGCAACGGTGAGCTAGAGAAGAGAAAATACGTCGACCTAGAAAGTATGCCCTCGCGTCGAGCTCATCCTTCTCGTCGTTCGCCTAGCGGCAACGGTGAGCTAGAGAAGAGGAGCGGCGGGGTGAATCTGGAGAAGAGAAGTAGAGCGTTCTATTAGGGATTGGGGTTTGGCTTTCAGAGTTCGGAGCTTTGTTTTTTTTTTAATAAATAATTTTGTTGCACAATACGGCGGCGTCCAGTTTCAAATAGCCTACCGCCGGTGGAAACAAAACCGGCCGATATTTCCTTTCGGACCGGTTAAACCAAAAAAACCGGGCGGTACGATAATTCAGCCACTAACTGGCTACCGTTTCGTTTCTGGTCCGGTTTCCGGTTTTACCGGTCGAACCGGCCGGTATGATCCGGTTTCCTGGTCCATGGCCAAGCGAGGGTTTGGCGGAAAATTGAAAAGATTTAAATTTATTTGATTTTTTTAATTGGCACGCTACTCATTTAACAATTAGCTATGAGAGTTAACTGTCACATTAAATAAAGTTAACGTATATGGATAATTAGTAACCAAACTTGAACCATTGAAATAATCTTTCTAACCACGAATGGAATAAAATGGTTTTAATGAAAAACGTGAAATAATTTAGTAAGCCCGTGACCAAACCTGTAATTTAGTCAATATTTAAAAAAAAAATATTTATCTTGAATAGTCTCAGACTGGATAAACTATAATATATTACAGTTGGTTTTGTTAAAAACAATTATACATGATTAGTTATGGAAAATAATTTTTTGTATAGTTGGAAGAAAGAAATTATATCCGCTCCGGGGGGACTCTTGGTTCTAATTTTGTTCTTTGGTATAGAAGATAGCTTGTTGCCGGAGCTCGTCGTTCGCTAGGTAGACGCAACTATAGACTGCCAAAAAAAAATCAAAAGAGGGAATTAGTGATTGAGAAATGACTCCACTCGACAAAAAACTAGACTGCAAAAAGGAATCAAGCCATAGAGATTGAATGATCGAAACATGATGCATTAGAAATAAGTAGCTAGACGGCAAAAACGAATCAAAGGAGAGAATGAGTAGTACGAAACAAGCACACTGCACTAGACAAAATAATAGACTGCAAAAAAGAATCAAAAGACAGAATGATCAGTGTATCATATATCTAAGCCGAGCACTTCTACTATGCTATATAGTATTGGTGCTTTAATGTACAACTCAAAGTTGTACCATAACATTAAATGTATAAGTTTAGGTTGTACCATAAAGCAATTTGTACCATTATGTTATGGTACAACTTTACAACTTGAAGTTGTACCATCACATAAATGTACAAGTTCAAGTTGTACCATAAAAGAATTTGTACAAAAAGTATAGGTACAATCTAAAGTTGTACCATAACATAAATGTACAATTTTAAGTTGTACAATCAAGGCAAAAACCTATAGCACCAATACTATATAGCATTGTAAAATTTCTCATCTAAGCCTGTCGATAAGTAGTTTATTCGTTAACATGATATCAAAGTATTCAATCAAGGTGTTACGGTTTCGAATCCTTATGACTATCTTCAATTTAAAATTATAATTTAACACATGGAATAATATGTTGTATTTGTGCAAACTGAAAGTCTAATGGTTTAGCAACACAAGAGTTTAACATTTGCAAACTGTAAAAATCCATGAGTAGATGTTCGTTCGAAGGGGAGTGTAAGAGATAAAAAAAAGATAATACAACACCATTTTGAAGAAGACCTCGATCACCATGGCGAATACCTTCACACCCTTCTTCTTTGCCCTGCTATTCATACTCGCCGGACCAAGATTCCAGCCGTGTCAAGAGGAGTCGGGCCATCGGGGTCACGGGCTTTGCCGTCCGATACACCGACCTCTAGGGTATTGATACCCAATTTTGCAGCAGCATCCAGGTCAAACCTGTAAGAGTATGGTATAAGATCCAGCAGAACCTTCTCCCAACAACTCGAGTTATTGGGAGCAACTGATTCTTGACATGATATCATAGCCTAGAAACGAAAGGTCATGTGTTCGAATCTCCACGACCCCCAATATTAGAGTTTATTAAAGCACAAGGTATGGTGGGCCTGTGCAAACTTCAAGCCCATGGGTTGACTTTCGTTTGAGGGGGCGTGTAAGAGTATGGTATAAGATCCAGCAGAACCTTCTCCCAACAACTCGAGTTATTGGGAGCAACTGGTTCTTGACAGAACCCTTCATGTATTCCAAATCTAAGTGTTCGGAATCCGTTTCTCCCGACGACTACACCAGTTGTATCACTATTACCTACTATATAAATAATTTGTCAGTCTTTTCAGTTTAGGTTTTGTTTTTTTTTTTAAACTTTTAACGAAGACAAGCCCCAAGGCATGGCCAGACAACAAAATTGTAAGACATACAATGATAAAGAATGGTAGTTTGTAAGCAATCGGACTCTTGAAGAAAATAAAGAGCATTTTTTGCCACAAGGTATGGACAGCTCTGTGAAAGCTCCGGAAAACAAAAGGACACGAAATTGATTCAGATAATGCGAGAGAGCACTTCCTTGTGAACACTCTGTCTGAGAGTGGTAAACCATCGTGCTTGCTTCCAAATGTGAAAGCGAAGGAAAGATTCCTTACAAACAATACAAACAAAATAACACAAATAGGAAAATGCAAAATTCTATCACAAGAGAAAGATGTTATCAAAATAGCACTAATAGGAAAATGCAAAGATTCCCCTATATACGTATTTGTAAGTTGTTATCATTCAATAAAAAATAATTTAACATAGATATGAATTCATGATCAATTCAATACAATACAAGTACACCAGTTGTATTGTAAAGATTCCCCATGGTTTGATCAATTCATGATCAAACCAAAGAATACCCTGCCTTCTGGAAACTCTATCATGTGGATCCTGGATCTGGTCACCATGTTTCGTTCTGGTACGACTGCTGGCTTCCCGGCACTGTTCTCTCGATCTCCTTTCCCCGGGTCGCCGCCGCAACATCCAACCGTGATGCTACTGTTTCGGAAGTAGCTGTGATCTCATGTGAGAACCTTTCTTGGAATCTTAATCTCAATGTTAACCTGAGAGGGGGGGCCTGAGTGAAAGTAAGGACTTGCTCTGTTTGCTTCATTCCATTAACGCCTGCTTCATTAACAATAGTCATTGTAGAGTGGTTTGGACCCCCAAACCCGACTCTTCCTTTTCTGTTTGTGCAGCATACAGAATTTTCGCCAAGGAAGCTTTCCCAGGAATCCAAAATTACGCAGCCCCTACCATCTGGAGAAGTGCAGTTCCATCCAAAGTATGCTTCTTCATGTGGACTGTCTCCCACCTAAAGATCCCCACCATTGATAACCTCAAAAAGAAAGGCTGGTCGATCGTCAATAGGGGTGAGCTGTGTAAAGGACAGGAGGAATCTATTGAGCATATGTTTATTCATTGTGCATATACAAAGGAAATATGGAGAGCCCTATGCAGAGCTGTGAAGCAGCCACACGAAGACATTGTTCGATCTATCCAGAACTGGCCTGTCGACAAACCCGACAATATTCAAGACTGGTACATCTCCTGCATCCTTCACGCAGCATGTTGGTTAATCTGGAAGGAAGTATTGAAGTGCACTAGGACCTATCATGTGGAAAGCTGGGGCTCTCGGTGATAGGAGCTGTGTGGAAGGGTTCGAGCACAATTGGAAGTATCGCAAACAACAACCATCTTTTGCTTTGATTCGGTTTGAGTATGGGTTGAATTAATTCGCTAATTAACTCGAACCTTGAGGACAAGGTTCTTTCCGGGGGAGGAATGATACATATAGATATATTAGAGTTTCCATTATTTGAATTAGTTAGTAGTATTGAGCAAGTCGGTAGGTAGTTAGAGAGTTATGTGTTTGTTAGAGTATTTAGGAGTGCTTTGCATAATAGGTGGAGTGGGTTTAACATCTTATGGTTAGTTGGTTAGCGTAGATAGACGTGGGATTAGCTCCACTTAGATAGGCCTTTCCAATTCCAATTTTTGTGTATTTAAGTTGAGAACGTAATGGATAATGACTAAGCAATTTCAGAAAACAAGAAACCCCTTGTCATTTTCGCTAAGAAAGGAGAAACTTGGTCTACTCCCGCCAAGAAAAGGAACTATCCAATCTAACCCGTATCATGCACCGTTCTAAGGAGCCAGGGACCCACACTTTCATCATGGTCGTCGGGATAATCTTCATATAGTATACCATCATAATCATTGCCATTGAGGTCAAGACTTGGCTGTTGTCGTTCCTTTGGCTCAGGGTGGGGGCTGTAGTAATTTTACCAGTCGACTTCCCTGTACACCATCATCGTCTGCGGTCTCCTACCGAGTTCGAAGGAATCACGACGACGCTGCAGTTGTGTTGTTGGTGTCGTCACACGATAGTACGCAGTCAACGTTCCCCGCAACATCCACTGCGTAGAACCGATCCCTCCATAATACAACATCCTTGTAGCAGTACGGGGACGTACTGCTGTTGGGCTTAACAAGCTTCCACGACATCTGTGATTCTTCTTTCCAAGGCTTGCAGAAGGCGAAGCTCGGCCCGAGCACTCCTCTACCGAACATCATCATCACAACGCAATCGTGGCGCGTCGGGTCATAGGACAACACTATTTTGTTGCCTTGTCAAAGGGTTCAGTAGGAAAGCTGCATTAACATATGAATTTAGGCGGTTTACTAAGACAATGTATGTTAGTTAATTAACAGACATACATGCAGACTAATTTCACTATACTTTGATGAGCTATATATATTATAGAGATCGAGAAGTTATAACTCCCACTGGCCTAACCCTAATCTAACATGGAAAGGAAAAAAATGGTTACAGACTTGATACAAAACAGTAAAACAAACGTGCATAAACCCATACAAACAGACGCTTCACTCACCATATTAGGATTAGGGATGGCAATTACCCACTCATGGGTAATTATACTCAAACCCAAGTAGCTAGGCCCATTTATAATGGGTAGGGTATGGATGAAGTATAAATTGGTTGGGGGTTTGTAGATGGGGTTGGGTAAGGTATGGATATTGCTTCCATAATTTAAATGGGTACGGGTTGGATATGGATATCCATTTACTACACATACAAAAATTAGACCTGTTCGTAGAACTAGAAAAGTTTAGGTACCAAAATATAGGACCAAAAAAATTAGGTACTAAAATATAATTTTTCGTCAATATTTTGAGGACTTATATGCAAAAAGAAATTATATTTAGGTACTAAATATGCATACCTATTAACTATTAAGTTTAGGTACCAAACTATAATTTTCATTTCGGTATGGGTACAAACCTTTGTTTTCATAATCGGACCGGTCGCTGAATCAGGAAAGTTAGTGGATTAGGGTTTAGTAGTTAACCGTTATAAAATCGCTGGTTAGTCGTTAGCAGCAATGCAGTCAAAATCGCGGTTTAAATCGTAAAAACATACGTTTTTACTACCTAGGTGACTATAACTAACCAATTTCCACCTAAAATCGTTTTGCACGCAATATCGTCAAAATCATAGGTGAAATCGTTAAAATCGGTAGAAACCGGTAAAAACGCGTTTTTTTGGCGTTTTAGTGCGATTCCGGTCCTTGACCAGAAAATTGCTATTTAACCAAGGCGATGTCTTTTTTTGTTAAAAATTAAAAACAAATTGAAATTACGAAATGGGTGTCGCTTGGTAGTAGTCCACGTAAAGCAGATAAAGTGATTGGGAAATGAGAAGAGGAAGTATAAATAAAATTAGTGATTATGCTTCGACGATACGAGCTTACGTTAAAGTAAATTTTTAAATTTTTTTTTTATGATTAAAATAGTGAACGAGTGGACCATTCAAACAGGGGTGATTCATCTGATTTTATGTCGAACCGTGAAAAACAGTTGGGTCCATCAATAACAGTCCAATCAATGGACCGGACCGCTATCGTAACTGGTTTGACGGATCTAATGGCCAAGTCGTTGATTGGGTTCAATTCTTATAACAATGGTACAAGGTACGTACAAACCCAAATCTATGTGTTAAAAACCCAAACCAGCCCAAGTAAATGGGTATGGGTACAACCCAACAAATTCTACCCATCTATTTGGATTTCATATCCAACCCAATTGGGTTGGATAGTAAAATATCAAATGATATGTGCAAAATTGCCATTGATCCTCTTCATTAATTTTTTTTTTTTTTCGTTCTTGGTTATACAAAAGGAAAACTTCATTAGCTTATTGAATTAGGGATCCAACCCTTCCATGCATCACCCATATTCCATATATAGAGAGATCTTCCCTTAATTAGGGTCCCAACCAAACTAATACATACCAACTTATTCAACAACACCTACGTAACGATACATAAGGAACACGAAGTTACAACCCCAAAAGAACAGGAGCAACATTAAGTAATGTACGTATGATCAACAGAACTGGTAGGTCTCGTACCTAACGCAGCAACCATCCTCCGCGTATCGAGCTCCAGTCGTTTTCGGGCAGATGTCTCTTATCAAGTGCGCCCCTCGTAGTAAACAATCCCTGCAATCGTTCCCCAGGAACTCCGTCGGACAGTAGGAGTAATAGTAGAACGCCGTCTCGTTTCCCTGATCGCCGGAATAGGCACCGCTGTTACACCCTGGATGGTATATGGCGTTGTCCAGTACCCGGAACTGCACGGTCGTGCCGTCGAGCTTGGCTTCCCCTGTATCACAGACGTAGGTGTACGGAGATGGGCATTCAGCAGCTGGTAACGATTGACTTTCGGCCACAGTCCCGATTGTGATCAGAATCAGGAACAACATCAACAATGTTAATAACGCCATTTTGTCTCTTCTTCTTCTTCTTCTCTGTGTTTTCTGAAGCTGGTATATATATATATATACTAGCTAAAAATGAAGCTACATGGTAAAATAAAAAGAACTAGAACGAAAGAGCCGCTGCATGTACTGTATTACTTAACGAAACAAAACTACACTAGACAAAATTAGGTTGCCAAAGAGAATAATACAGGGAATGAGTCGTATACGACTAGAGATGTTGCCGCCGCTGGCACTGTATTACTTATAAGACAAAAGTACGATAGACAAAACTAGACTGCAAAAGAATCTTAAGATTTCTTGTTAAAACTAACACATCCGTCCAGTAGTCTAAATCAATATACTAGATTATTGTGTAACTTGTTCTTTGCTCATTTTTAAAAAGAATTTCAGAATATATATTGTACATTTGTCTTACACGCCTTTTCAAAGAAATGTAATTTGGAAGAGGCAAGAGATGGTATTTGGGTGCACAACTAAGGGTGGTGCATTTTGCATAATTAGATCTTGACTCTTAATTTTGATTACGGCCGGAAAAGTCCGTGAGAATCAATAGCTTTTTATTTTTCTTAGTTTTTCTTAATCTACTCTTAACTTCTTCGTTCTAGTTTGAATTTCAAATTTTTAATACAGATGAAACGAGTGATTATGATTTAATTTACAAAATGAGATCAATTTTCAATATGTTCTGATAAAAAAGTTTCATACCAGTTGCTACCACCTTGGTACCAGATAGTACCATCTCATTTTTAATTCAAGTTTTAACGAGTTTATCGTAATTTATTAGATTTATAAATTTATGATAAAAAAATATAGGAACAAATTTTACCACTCTATACCACCCTGGTATAGGGGTGGTGACTGGTGGTAAACAGTGATGAATGTGATAAATGACGGTTCGTATGTTTCTACTATCATGTATTCAACCATTCTGCACTATGGTATGTTTATATCACCATGATACACTTCCATAGTACATGATATGATTTTATGCAACACCAAACATTACCAACATGCTATAGACTGATATTAAATATCTCAATTTTTATTTTATTTTAAAATATATCAATGTGAATATTATTTTGAAAAGCACAATTAATTTGATTTATCTGCAGAAAAAAATACTTAAAATACGACTTAAAACAAATTAAAGAGATATAGCTTGTTAAAGTTTACAATTGAAAAGGTTAGAAGCCTTCAATATTTACTATATATAAGTTTGAAGTAGAGTTACTATTGCGTAAAAAATTGCTACTTTAGTCACTTTATACATTTTACATTTTGATACTCCAAATTTAATTTTAATGTAAGATCATTTCATAGAATTCCAACAATTTCTCCCGCTCTTCAAAAGCCCACAGGAACGGAGATGATGCTCCCAGATCCATAGCATAAGTAGTTAAAATAAGTGAATGATTTGAAATTCGAGTTATTTCACGGAATAACACTCTGGCTTGCCTTGACCCTGCTGAAGGCGCAAAGTTCATCATTCATTGTGTTGGGGAGATCCAATTATGTTTTGGAATCTAAATTTTATAGGATTTCCGTAACAACAATTTTTAAAATTTACTATATATAAATTTGAAGTAGAGTTATTGTTGCGTAAAAAATTGCTACTTTAGTCACTTTATACATTTTACATTTTAATACCACACATTTAATTTTAATGTAAAATCATTGAACAATTATGCCAAGATATCTAAATTTTACGAGAAGATTCGACCATTTTATATTTGCTCATTACGTGAAACATTGAATAAATGATAAAAGAGAGACAACTCTTAAATATTGCAAGAGCAAATTTGTAAACTCATTTAGTACATTTATGGGGTACTAAACAAACTTTTACTAACTACATATAACAAAATATGTGATATCTAAATATGCAAGTGTCAATAAATTGCTATGGTGAAAACAGTTAACTGTGTATAGGGCTGTCGGTTCGGGTCGGGTCGGGTAACCGAACCCGAAACCCGTGAAAACCGAAAAAACCGAACCCACCCCCTCACAAACCAAAACCGAACCCGAAATACACTCCTGTGGGTTTCGGGTACTTGAACCCAAAATTGATGCTGGCGCCTTTTGTTCGGTTCGGGTGAAACCGAAACCGAACCGGCCATTTTTTTTTTCCCCCTTCTTCCTTCCGTCCCCTGCTGCTACTTCTGAGAGAATGGAGTTCATGGAGTTATAGCAGCAGAAGCAGCAGTACCCAACAAAACCAAAACAACAGGGTAGCAAAATATCAAAGACAAATGAATCCCTTCAATTCCTGGCTGCTTTCTCGTTACCTGGTTGGGTAAATCATGAATGGTTTTGACTGTTATTCTGCTTCTTCTTCTTCTTCTTCTTCTTCTTCTTCCAGTACACGCCATTAACAGCCATCTGGTTCAGAATCATCAGTCCCTTTTTTTGGAATGGGTAAATTTCTGACTCTCTCTCTCTCTCTTCCTCTGTTTCTTTTCTCAATTCTGGAGGCTCCACCACCGCCGCCATGAATGGCGCCCAAAAAAATTCCCCCCCAAAAGCCCTAATCCGCAACCAAAATCCCCCGCAATTCACAAACCCAACCGAACCAAAACCAGATTCAATTCCCTTCCGACCCTAAAGCTCCAAAGCCCTCAATTCCTCCCTTTCTCTCTCACTTGCACCAAAAACTCCCACCAACAGAACCCTGCTATGTCAATGTTATTCTCAATCGCCCACCAACAGACCTCTTCCTCAGAACTTCCTCTTCGAGAATCTTCTGCCAGACTTGCTTAATCTTGTCGAACTGCCTCTCTCTAGCTGTTGCTCTCTGTTTTAGCTTCCATACTGACAATTCGCGCTAACAAAGAAAACGAGTGTCTTTTGAAAGCTCTGGTCCCAAATTGGTTCCCAAGTTTTGGCGCATGCAGAGTCTGAGGGAGATTGGAGGAGATAGATCAAACCCATCTCTGGAATAATATCATCCACCACCCACCACCACCACAAATTGATCAAATTGATCAATCCCACCCACCACCACCACAAATTGACTCAACAGCAAGCAATCAGAAAGCAATCAAAGGCAGAAGCTTACTGGGAATTCGTTCAACCCCAGATTGAGATGCGTCAGGTTCTTCATTGCCCCAATCTCAACTGGTAACGAATCCGTGAATCCATTGCAGGAAATGTCAAGAACCAGGAGCTGGCCCAGCCTCGTCTCGCTCTGTTTCGGCACAGAATAACAGGGGAAGGATTTGATGGCAGTCTGGCGGTGAGGACGATGATGGCGGCGCGGTGGAATGGAACGAAGCGAAAGAGACGGCGACGGCACGAGGTGAAGGCTGAAGGGCTGAAGAAAAAACCCTACATTCGGTTTTTCGGTTTCTCTCTCGGGTTTCGGGTTTATGAAACCGAAACCGAAACCGAAAGTCACGGGCCGAAACCGAAAAAACCGAACCCATATACACTGCTGCCGGTTCGGGTTCGGGTTAAACCGAAAACCCGAAACCGTTTTGACAGGCCGTGTATTAACAACCAACCAAAAGAATTGGTCAAAACCTTTCCATCATCTACTTTCTCTTCGTTTCATTTTTCACTTGCCTTCAATAACCCTTTTTTTTTATTTCTTTCTTTGCCGTCTTCGTTTAACCCTAATTAGTATACTACTTTTTATGTATTTTAATCACAAGTATGAACAGGTCCATACACGACTCACCAACAGTCTAGAGAACTAATAATTGAACCATGAACCACTAACTTTTTCAACTCAATGTTGAGTCCATTAAACATAAATATATTTGGTTATTACTTATTAGATAGTCATCATTTTCTACTATGGGATTTGAAGGCTTGAAATTTTAAGCTAGTTCCAGTTTGTATTCTTTTTGCTTCGCTCTAGAGTTTTTCTTTTTCACCCGGGCTATAATTTTCAACAATTATACATGGAATGCTTGGTTAAGTATCTACACATATCAAATAAATAGTTTTCATTTTTCTATAGAAAAGTAAATAATTATCATCTTAAATATATCACCATAAAAGGAATTAAGCCTCAACTATGCAAATTATAGTTGTGTACCTAAACTTAATAGATTTTTAGATTTATAACCTAAATTTATTTATTTGGCATATAAGTCCTCAAATATTGATGAAACATTATATTATAGTACCTAATGTTTTGTGTATTATATTTTGGTACCTAAAATAGGTCTAATTTTTGTATGTATATTTAAAACACTCTCGAATAAATAGGTATCCATACCCAACTCATACACATTTAGATTATGAAAATAAATATTTTTAATTATATTTTAACAGATTTCATACAAAATTAAGTATTAGAAAAAAGACAAAATCAACGGCAAATAAACCACCAAATAATTATTTTTCAATCCAACTACCTATAAGCGGAATTGACGGGCTGAAGTTTAGATTCCTACCTGCAGCAAAGCGCGGTAACAATTCTAGTAAATAATAATATGACAAGTTATGCATATTTATTGACTCCCTGCAAAAGATGGTATCTTATACATTTTTCGCATAGAACTTTTCATATAAACCTTCTATAACCTGTGCGTAAATAAATAATTCATACCAAGCGTCGTCAATAATTTGAATATAAGATCTCTCAATTAAACTCAATTATACCATGTCAAAAATTATTTCCTTGAACACAGGCTTGTTCAAGTGATAATACCACTGGCCTTCAATTTTAAATTCAAAATTACAAAAAGTAAAACGTAAAAATCATTAAACTGATTGATAAGTTCATTGAATTAATACTACAGTAGATGCATGAGACAAAATTGCCGCAAATGAAATCTATCGAAATACAAGTCTTTGTAATGAAACTACCCCAACTGGACAAAAATAAAAGGGTTAATAGTTTATTTTGGCCCGAACTATGACCATATTATCAATTTTGGACAGTGGTTTTAGAAATTAACATACTGGCCTCAACTATACATCATATAGACTCAATTGGCCCGACACATAGTTTGACCGTCAATTTGGACGGTCAACTGCGTTGAGCATTAGTCAACACGCCATGTCATTGCCTAGTCAGCCT